AGATGCCTGAAACATTCTGCATAATTAAATCATTTAGATTTTACATCATTCAGAGTGGTTTGGTGTGAAACGCTCTGTTCTAGAGAAACTTACCAAGTCAGAACTGTTCACAGTGGTGGTGATAGGAACCAGACGTCCACCTTTAAAAGCTCCCTCACATAAAGTTACTACATGCAATTGTTATGAATTCACTGCTTGACGTAAGACTTTTTTTGTACAATAGTTTTGAGAAGGCTTTGGCTTTGTTTTTTCAGATTTACCCCTATTTCGCCATCTTTAACATTACATGTAAAACTCAGAAGACTTGTGTAGGTTCACTGGTGGTTTTGGATAGTAAATAAAATGTCTATATCTGTGTTGTAGTCATGGTGACCCCTGGTTCCTATCACCACCACTGTAAAGAAATCAGTCTGTAAGTTTCTCTACAGTGAACCATTTCACACCAAACCACTCTGAATGACTCTGTATTAAAGTTAAATTATCTGCCATTGTGTAGAAATATTTAAAAATTGGTGGAATTCCCCTTTAATTTAGAATGAGAACCATATTCAACAATTTTCCATCATAGCGAAGAACCATTTAAGCAAGTGAAGAACCAGTTATGCATTCAGAAGGGTTTTTTGAGTGTTCACAAGTTCATACACAAGCACTGCCAATGATTTAACCTCTTTAACTCTGTGGAACCACCAGTGGTTCCAAAACACACAGTCATATTCTTTACTTCATAACTTTCATATTTAATAAGCTTCATTCAAAGCTTATGAATGAAGAGGGTGTCATATGAGACCTGTAACTGTCGTTTTCCCAGTCAAATAATAGGTGATGTAATTTTAAACCCTTATAATAAAAGAAGCTCAACTCACAATTTTTTTTTCTACTGAAAGTTAATCCATTTTTCCACAAATATGGACTATAAACTATAAACAGATGGCATCTCTTCAGTGATCTGCTCGGTAAAAATTACTTTTATATATAAAAGAAGATTTTTGGCTTTCAGCAGTAAATTGTGAGCATATAGCAACATGTGTGATCATAAAACACACGTTCTGTTAATCTAAGAGGAGCTTTTACAAAAATACCCCAAAACTTTAGTTATTTCATGCAGTTACTGAATAATTTGCCTTACGATTTGGGCCTGTAAATTCAGATGGAAAACCTGAAATATACCCACGAGCATAAGCTTGCATATAAATGCGAAGAGATTTTATAATAAGTGCTTTTAAGTTCATCAGATCAACGTACATCAAATTTAAGACAGCTTTTTTAGCTTCTTAAAACATTTCCATCGTAGAGGTACTAGGTTTTGTTATGACAGTCTTTGTCCAGGGATCAGCGGTGGAAGACGGTCGAGAGAGGGATACTGAGAGAAGGAGAGAGAGAGAGAGAAAGAGGCAGCGGAGAGACAGAGAGGTGAATAGAGTTAAAGGAGTTTATTCAGCATGCTACAGAGAGAGAGAGAGAGAAAAGCACACCAGCACGCAGGGACCGTACAGCATGAGCTCAGTAGAAAAGGAACTTTTAATTGTCTCACTTCCAAACTACACTGAAATTGTACATTATTCTAGAGATGTAAAAACTCAACCCATGTAGAAAATATACACAGCGCCCCCCTCTGATTCCAGAACGTAGACTCCAGAATGTGTAACTGAATCCGTTAATGCAGAGCGACCCCCCCCCACCCCCCGCTTCCCCAGACCACAGAGAGTCATCGACAAGAACTCAAGCAACATTTCCTGACGTCTTTATATAAATTGTGAATTTTCCCCCCTCGTGGTGAAAAAAAAACAAAAATCCAGAGGTGCTGAATGACACAACTTTGTACAACGCGGAGAAAAATAAGACAAAAGGCACGTTAACTTTGGTCCCAACAGTTCTTCTACACGTGAGGGTGACACTTCACAAGCACGTCACAGTGAACATCACGACACCCAGCTAAGGGCCGAGGTGCATTCAGATTCAGCTCAAAGCAAAGCCGGACGGACTTTTCTTGCAGTACTTTTATCCATTTTTATAGAGAACAGTGTGTCGTATCACATCAGAAACCACATAAGCAAGTTTATATGTGATCATTTCATAATTTTATGCAATCTGAAGCAGCTGAGGAATAAAAACTTCGGCAAAATCTGGGTGTGCAGTTTGCTGAACGCTAGCTGGTTGGAACGTAAGCCTCCTACAGCAGCTTCGCTACATTAGCCTCAACACCATTTTAAAGAATTTTGTTGGTACTTTTGCACATTTATTGTCCATTTGCGCTCCTTCAGTAACAGCAGTCCTGATTCAATCTCACAGTAATGTAATAAATCCTGGTAATACAGATCGCCACCTGTTTTTTGGCTGCTGGAAGGCTAACCGCCTTAATGGAGCTCTTGGCACAGTTCCTTTGTCCTCAAATTCAAAATAAGGGGGCTGTAATGAGACACACTGGTGGTAGGACAATCAGAAGGAGAATGAAATAGGAATCATCCAATCAAATCGCTTCCAAATAGCATTATCAGACTTCCTCTGGTAAAACTAATGTGGCTAGAATAGGGCTTTAGCTACCTGTAGCTATTTGCTAGCCACATCATCCTTGTAGCCAACTTAAAGGCCGAAACTTGGTGGTACATTTTACATTTGTGATTATTGAACTCAGTGTTAGATGCTAGTTGAGTCATTCTATGGAAACGTCCATTTTTGTGTCCCTAGTGTTTACAGATATATTACACTTGAAAAACATGTTAGGGTTACAATTTATTTAGTCTTTAAAATAAAATAAGTTATTTTAACAATTACGCCTTTTTGAGCCGTCAAATTCCGCAATATTGGGTTTTCAAATCAATCATATAGAATTCCAAGCACCACAGAAGAGCTCATCCTCACAGTCATGTGTAAAGAGTGAGGCCACATTTTGAGGTAAAAAATGCAATTTTTTGCAATTTTAACTGCAATAATCCATATATGACTATGATTAATATGAATTAAATGACAAAGAAAACAAATAAATATTATAAAATATATAATGAAAGCTGTGGTCGCCAGGAGTCGTGTCACTGGTGTTACTGCGTAACAGAAAAAAAAATCTCTAATTTTGAAACAAAAGTCACACTGATGACATCACGACTTCCTTTTACCTATTTTCTGAGGCTCTATGAAGAAAAGCACATGGTGAGTCCACTGTGTCTTTCAGTTATCATCATATGAAGCTTTTAGCTGAAGTCACTGGTGTGACCGACTTTATTCTGAGATAATTGTCAAAAATAGAACTAATTAAATTGCATATTTTAGTGGATATTCCATGATTGAAAACGTGGTTTGATGCTCTGTAGCAGCCATTTTGTAAAATGCATTTTTCATTAAAAATGTCTCTGGTGTTACCTTTCTTATGTGTAACACCAAGGAGGATCGGTAACACCAGTGACTCCTATGGACAGATAAAAAAAAGTGGACGCTTCTGTAGAATGACCCAGTTGTGTGATGATTTAGGCCATTACTTGTTAGCTACATTAGTTTTGTACTGGAGCTACGAGGCTAAAGAAGCAAACTTCAGAACCCAGATTTTGGCTGACTAACTACATTAGTGGGGAAAACAGTAAATTTTCGACCAAACAATTCCTGTAAGGGCTATTTTATAGCTAGTATTCATCGCCCCTTCTCATTTAACAATGACATTTATTTGTGTAATCTGTAATGTATATTAGAAATCTGTGGTCTGTCTGACCACAAACACCCGAAGACAGATGGTAACTTTCAGCCGCTAATGACGACTCTGAACGCACCTTGGTCAAACATATGCAATAGCAACAGTAAGCTTGTCCTCACTACTGCCAAGACCCAGCAGTTCATGCAGTTCCACTTAAAAAAAAAAAATGCAAATTAACAAACAAAACAAAAAAGCGAGGAAGGGTTGGGAGTGTTAGAACAGTAGGTGCTGCAATATATTATACACAACGCTGCCCACAGTGTGTGTGTGTGTGTGCGTGTCTGTGTGTGTGTGTGTGTGTGTGTGTGTGTGTGTGTGTACAGGGTCTCCAGCATTGAATTTTAAACTGTATTTTAAGTGCCAGATCTAAAACAAAATCCACTACAGCCCTTCCAAAAACACATAAACAAACAGAACACATCCAGGCAGGTGGCCGTTCCATTGAATCATGTCACTCATACGCAAGTGATGCATAAAAAAAAAAAGGAAAAGAAAAAAGCAAGCCAACTGGCTTTAAAATGCTCCAATACGTTTCACAGGAAAGATAAAGTACCGTCCTTAAAATCCCACAAAACAATGGATCGGTGTCAGAGGGAGAGACTTTAATAAAACACTTCTTACACGAAAATTAAAAGAACGTGCCTAAACTTCTAACGCCTGTATGAGAGGATGCAAAATAGATGACGCTGTTTTTGCGTACGTAAGGCACCTTTTTGTTGTGGGAATACAGCTGGCCCAACGCACGACGACAGAGAGGAGGAGTCTTACACACACACACAGAGAGAGAGAGAGAGAGAGAGAGAGAGAGAGAGAGAGAGAGAGAGAACGAAAAAAAATAATAGAAAAAAAAATGCAGAAAGAAGGTGAGAAAGAGAAAGAGAGAAAGGCAGGAAGAGTAAGGGAGATGGAAAAAAACGAAAAGAAAAAGAAGACAAACAGAAAAAGAGGAAAGAAAGAATAAAACGACAAGAGCAAGAACAAACAAGAGCAAGCGAAAAGAGAAAAAGAGAAAGAAAAAGCAAGAAAAAAAATGCAGAAAGAAGAGGGTGAGATAAACAGAACGAGTGAGTAAAAAGGCAAAAAGGGAGTGAGAAAGAAAAAGAAGCAAGAGAGCGAGAAAGCAAAAAAGAAAGCAAGAGAGAAAGAGAGAGAGAGAGCGAGTGAGAGACAGACAGAGAGAGAGAGAGAAGGAGAGAGAGAGAGCGAGAGAGAGACAGAGAGCGCACTGTGCCTGTGTGTTTATGATGCGGTCTTCAGGAATGACTGATACAGATGAATTTCGCTGAATGAATTATGCTCCATACTGAGTGGGGGCGGTGGGGGGGGGAGGGGTGCAGCTACAGAGCATGTTCAGATGTTCAGATATTCAGATGGTGGACTTGGAGAAGGAAACCCTGAGGCGATGGCCTCCGCCCATGTCGTAGTTGTGGAGGTCGATCAGGGCCTGGATGGCCTCCTCCACCGTCGACATCTGCAGCAGAGACATCTTACGGTCTCTGAAACAAACAAACATTATCCGTTAATTATTACTGCAACACCACCCGATCAATACAGTAGTGATACGTATCAATATAATCGTGATGCTAATGTTTGGTTCCTATTGTGCAGCACTGCTGCAGGACATCCTAGTGAAGAAGTTATCGATCTCAACTTTAGCGACCCAAAGCTCTGCATGTGTTTGTATACTCTGCGTTATGACACCCCTGACCAAGTCTAGGTCAGCACCGGTCATTTATTAGCAACTAAGAATTAGTTGAATCGGTAAGATTAAAAACACACAGACATACACAAACATACACCCACAAATGCAAAAGTTTGGAAGCCTCAGTTGAGCTACTTTTTGTTCATTTTCCAAGTAAAAAATGTGTGCACATTTGTTTATTTGCTATACGTAACATTACTAGGGGGTAAATAATAATAAAATAGAAAATAAATGTGGCCTGTGCAAAAGATATGGCACATTTTATATTTCAGTACTTTACAGTGTGGTTATTAAGAGTATTAAAGAGTAACTACAGCCTAAGACCTTTTTTTCCCATAAATAGCTGAAATGCATTCTTCTATAATAATAATAAATAATTTCTACAAAATGTGGCAGCAGCATCCAACAAAAAAACAAAACAGAGAAAACATATCAGTCCAGTTTTAAAAGAACTGCACTGGCTGCCTATATCGTTCAGGATAGACTGTAAAGTTCTGCTACTAGTTTTTAAAGCTCACAATGACCTCAAAGCACCTCTTCCATCACAGAGTGTCTGTCTGTTTATGATCTTAGATCTGGGGATACTGACCTTCTGCAAACACCTTCTGTAAAATACAGAAAACCTGGAGAGACACTCAGTTATTCTGCTTCTAAACTGTGGAACTCAATTCCACCTTAAAAAGCATCTAAAAACGTATCTCTTTAACTTAACGTTTAATCAAAACTCTACGTCTCATGGTGTTTATCTTTAAATTTGATCGGTGTCATTTTCTTATATTATTCTAAATAAACACTTATACTTTCTTGTATTACTGTTTTTGTATTACCTGTCTAGCAAAGCACTTTGAGCTGCCATCGGCATGAAAAGTGCTATATAAATAAAAATTATTATTATTATTATTAATTATTATAATATATACCAGCCTTGCTTGAAATGTGAACACATCTTTCCAAATTGTAAAAATATCATTTTATCATGGTCAGTTTCACCTCTGCAGCGCCCCTTTGGTGCAACTCTGCTACAGGCGTGGATGACGTGTCTTCCTACCAAAGTACGATGACACGTCAGTACGCAAATCAGGCAAACTGCCCCCCTGATGAAGCCCTACTCGTGCCCAGAGCCATGTAGAGAGATGGCGCTGCTCGTGCTGCCCTGATAAATATGAAACCATAGTCTAGAGTCTAGAGCGAATGTTTTTCCATACATATCGTCTCATCGCATTTAGTGCGTTATTGAGTGTTCTAGTTAGTTATTATTGGTAATTCTTAGTTATTGTATTGGTAGATATTGTAGTTTTTAGCCTTTTAGACTTGACTAGCCTTATACTGATAACATTCAATGTACGATTAGGTGACCTGACGGACCGATTAAGTGAGGATTCTTGCATGTCTCCATACAGCTATTGATGAGTGCCATGAACAGCTTGCAGAACATAAAGATTAAAGGTCACTGCAGCCACCCCTGGATGACAGATGAGGCAGTGTACGACCCCAACCTGGTCACATCTGTGAACAACCTGTTTGGTATGATAGTCTCCCTGTTATACTTCTGTGATTGGAATCAAACAATTAGCAATGCCCCTCCCAACGTGCCCCTCCCAAGTTGAGCCAGGGGTGGAGTTAGCTGAAAATAGTGGGGTGTAGTTACTCTTTAAGTGAACACTTCCATAAAAAAAGTTTAAGGTTCTTACTGAAAGAACTTGAAGGCTTTCACTGTGCCTCCAGAGTTGGAGAAGAGAAGTCTCAGGTCCTCTTCGGTCACATCCTCACTGCAAAAAAACACAAGCATTCAAATTTCTACACACGGCAAAGCTCGAGAACAGTGGCACTCACAGTGAAGCGCCAAAAAAATTAAAACCTCCACAAATCCTCCTCCATAGCCACAGTACTACATAATTAACCAAGTTCAGATTTTTAACCTGCGCCCCTGAGCTACAAAAGAGAAACTAGCAATTAATTTTCAAAGAAGGAAAAACCTTGGGAATCCAAATTTAAGCTTTATGTCTGAAGTACTCAGCACACGGTATTAGCATAATAACAAAAGCAGATGGAGGCTGTAATTCGTGCAGTTCCTGAAGAGGTACCAATGAAGTGTCAATGCCAAGTCTGACCAGTCATCTGCTACAAATGTCATAACTAACGAAATATTCTCTGAACTTTTTTTTTTTTTAATTATATTATCCATTATATTACTAGGCAAATTCCTTTCTGCAGCATTTGTTTTTCTATCACCACTCATTTAGCTGCCCACTCCCACTGCAGTGTCTGTACTCACGGGATGTTGGAAAGATGGAGGGTGGCGGACGGAGGGAAGATGTTCTGGAAGTTCTTGGAGCCGGGCTTTTTGAAGCGGTGCAGCGGAGAGTTGGCGAAGTCTTTAGTGAGGCCCTGGTCATCCAGACCTTCTCTGGGCAGCTGCACTGTCTGGTGCTTCGAAAGGGTGACACGGATTATCTTTCCGTACATCTTCTGGCCGTTCAGGTGGCTCATGGCTGGATCAAAATGAAGTGAGAAGCACTGTCAAATATTTGTGTCGACTCCGAAGGGCCCATATTTGTGGAAGCACATTCCTACCAGGCAGAGGTGAAGAGAGAAAAAACTGGCTTCTATTTTTCTCCTTCTCTGCTTCTGAGAGCAGTATGTCAATTTTTACTTGATGATAATGACTTATTTCTTAATTGACTTTGTATCAAAAATGAGTTTTGGAAAGATAACTTGATATTCAATTCAACATTGGCAGTACATATTTTTCAATATTCAAGTCAGTATTTTCAGAAAAGTCATTATTTTGAGATAAAAAGTCAATAATTTGACATACTTCAGCAATATTTCTTCCCCTCTACCTAACGGGAATGAGCTTCCATACGCATTCTACATTTTTCTTGTATTTTAATTTTCTTCTATGAAGTCCACCTCTATCATTTGTGCGAGCTTATGTACCAAAAACAATTCATTTTTACATTTTTGAACTTCTCATCTTTCCTAAACAGGCTGTTTTGGTTACCTTTAAGACTATTTTTACTGGCTGCACTGTACAGTGCATAATTAAAAAAATACTCCAGCATAAAATGTAAAATAAGCTGTTAATCCTAGGGGAGATGCGAAACAACAAATTTTAGCAACTCCTTTCAGACGTGCAAATCCTTCGGAAGGCCGTAATGAGCCAGTTGCTTCCTGACAGCCAGGAACAGCACAACGTTTAATCACTTTCCCACATCTTTCTGCCACAGACTGCCTGCTGGAACGACACTCCACATCACTTCAGTGCAAACTGGCAGGGCTAAACTGCGCTAGGCTGGTCATATACACTGTTAGAAATAAAGGTTCTGTGCAGTTACATTTTTCATTCATTAAGGTACAAACAATGTAAAATGTTCCCTCAAAGGTACAACAGTGGTTTTAAGGTCCAATCGTGAACCTTAAATAGGTTTTTCCAGGTGAAAAGTTTGTATTTGTACCTTTTCATAACCGAATGTTTTAAAACAGAACAGTAAAATAAAAGCCTGGAGACGAGACGGGGTGTGTGGAGTCAGTACAGCTTAGAACATCAATCATTTCAGTGGATTATGGTACAGTTATGTTCCCTGACTAAAGGTACTGAGATGTTGCAGGAACATTGAGGGAACCACCCCAGTGACAAGAAGGGTACTGCCCTAGTGAAAGTTTACTATCTTTATATCTGAGAGTGTATAAATGTTTTCATGATGAATTCTAAATGGGAAGTTGTTGCTGATAATTTACATATATGGACTGTACACGCTGGAAATGAATGGTTTATTTTGAAAGCTTTAACACTGTTTACATAGTCAAGCAAACTGAAAAAATTCTGAAATAAATGCCATTACTTGTTAGGGGTCAGGCATCACAGTGTTTTAACTACAGAGAGTCTGTTTGGAGTACAAATCTA